TGTCGTTTTGAGTAAGTAATTTAAAACTACAGGTTTATCAGGTTTTATATACAGGTTTATCAGGCTTTAACTTTAATAAACTTATGTAGACCCAATTTGAAGTTTCGACCCCTCTCCAAATTGATTAAAATTTGAACTACACCTCAGAGCCTGGTGGTAATAAAAGTTTAGTTTATCAGAGTTTATAAGTTTAGTTAGACCAAGTTTATTGTCACCTTATCGCCAAATAAAATCTATCATCAAATAAAAATGGTCAAATTTTGTCGGACACCAATATTCAGTCGTCTTCTCCATAAACGGTGGTTCACTATACCAGAAATCAATGAAAAAATATTTTCTAGTATATTGCAGAAGCATTATATGAAATAATGATTCTATAGTACGTAATTTGCATTTCGAATTATTGACTAACTAAATTGATAAACCACATAATTCCTTTTCAGCTAATTTCTTCCTATAACGGAATTCTCAATTGGAATGTTAAAAAATATTCAAAGTATTCTCCATTTAACGAAGTAGTTGTCTCCCTGTAATGCATTTTTCAGAGTTTATCTTTTATATTTTCGTCATTTTTAGAATTTTTTAGATGCGCATCTTTATTTTTTATTTCTGTCATTTTAGAAGAAAGTTTCAAATTTTCTGTTAAACTGACTTCTTGTTTCTCCATACGCTTGTTTATGGAGCCACTCGCATTCCTTTCAAAGGTGTATTATTTTATTTTTATTTAAATGGCATAATTTTATACTTTTGAGTTTATCACTTGGACAAAAGAGAAATTTAAGTTTACTATAAACGAACTACCAGTATCTTAGTTGTTCATTTTAAGCACATGAAATAAGATTCTCTATAAACATATGAAATAAGATTAGTTAAATAGCAGTCTGACGGGACCACTAAAAATGCTCAGCTGAGTGTTCATTATATCCAGTTTCATTATAGCGAGGTAAGACCAGGGGCGGATCCATAAATTTTTCCTGGACCCCATAGACTGTCCCCATAGACTGAATTTTTCCTGGATTCCCATAGACTCAGATCCCCCCCCCCACAATGAATTTTTTTAATATTTTTTTTTTTTTTCTTTAAAAAAAAGCAGAACAAAAACTAGGGTTGTTAATGCTAGTCTTCTAATTTATTTTTTTCATAATGAACAATACATAAATAAGTATTCAAACATCTTTAAATAATGTAGTGCGTTTTTTAGAAACTTTGGCAAATCTGTCAATGATATTTTTCAACATCCAAATCAATTTCTCGATGAATGTTTAATAATGCGAGTCCATTAAATCATTCTTGATTTTGAGTTGCTGTAAGCCGAGTTATGAGACGTCGAAGAGTTGAAAAGGAACGTTCTGCTGTTGCTGCACTAACTGGCAGAGTTATTAAAATTCTCAACAACATGTTGATTGATGGGTACAAATCGATGTCACAGGCATTATGGGCACTTCAAGTCCTGCTTCTGTTTCACGCTGCCATTTTTCCACCCAAAGACGAAATTCTGTTTCGACAACTTTTACGGAGGCCTTTAAGAGATTCTTATAAAACTCGTCAGTTTCACGAACGGCAAAAAGATCTTTTACTGTAACAGTTTGACTTGAAACAGTGAAGAACATAATTAGATGAATAAAAAATCTGTTTTTCCGACCCACCTAGGTGTATATGCCCCCTTAAATAATTTTTGAAATATTTTATTTCTTTTGTAAACTATTAAAAAAACTATTATTTTTATTTTTTTCCCATTTTGGTGGGTTATGACCCCTATGAACCCCCCCCCCACCCCTGGATCTGCCACTGGGTAAGACTGTAATTAAAACGACACAAATTTAAAAAATTACGCTGAATTTGATGACATTACTAAGTTAATTTTTGATCTCCAGAAGTAGAATTCATCATATTATTGCCAAAAAGAGTTTTCACTAATCAAAACTTTGATCCTTTTCTGACTAGCTAGAATGCTCAAATATTAATTGGAGCTTTGAGCTGAAAGACGTAAAAGTTTTCGGGCATCTGAAAGTAAAAATCATGCCTGTGGACATCATTTATCTGAAGATTAAATAACTCAACTAATTTGCATTTGCAATCAGAGAGACACTGTAATAGTCATTATTTTAGCTAAGATCTCTCGTAAAAATAAATACAAACTAAATTTAAGAAAAAAGAAAATGTTGTGAAATTCTAGCTCTTTCTGAGATTAACCCATATATCTATGCTCAAACATTTAAATCGTTCTTATAATTCAAATTGAAAATTTATAATTTGGTTTAGTTTGCTTGCAAATGAATAAAATCATCTACAAAATCAAAAAATACAATAGCAAAGAATTCTCAGTCACACACGTCTAACATTTTGACGAAGAGAAAGTAAAAATATCATTAAAATTGAAAAAAAGAAAGGGAGAAATGTCTCTGAATAACCTAAAAAAATTTCTACTCAAGTTTACATAAATGTTAACAAGGAATTCCTTGAATAAAATAATTCCTTTTTTTTTTTTTTTTTTGTGNTTTTTTTTTTTTTTTTTTTTTTTTTTGTAAAATTAGAATATTTGGCCATTTTTTTCTTTAAAAGACAGAAAAGTACGAATTTTTGTCTTCCGGGGTTATATAATCAAATTTTATTACAACACAAGAACTACAAAATTGAATTATTCTACAACATAATCAAAAATAAGAAAGAAAAAAAAAAGTCGAAAGGTTTTTTTTAAATTAAATCTTTAGTTATCTGAGTACATGGTTGCAAAAAAAGTATAAATTTATTACCTTTTCTTTTACATCGAAAAATCCGAAAACACATTAAATTTAAATAATATGAACTATTTAAATCCCTTAGAATTATTTCAAAATTTCAACAATGAAGGAAATTTTGCTTATTTTAAGAATTTAAAGTGCTTGACTTCAAATTCTACTGCTCTCTAACCCTCGGAAACTGTTTGCGTAGATCTTTTACGATAACTTCACTCCCTCATTTCACCTAACTCACAGACTTAAGAGTGCATGGCTAGCAAAAGATCATTATTTTTTTTTGTTCACAGCTCAAAGGAAGGAAAAGAACTCAACTTAGAAATAAAATACTCAAAAGCTAATAACTGGTTTATATCAGAATACTTATTAAAGCATCATGCAGATGACGAAAATTTTCCGAAACATTACTTTTACAAAATATGAGAATCAAGAATCTTCTTCTACACTTATATTTACTTCAAGCAAAGAATTTATAATTTATAATTTTTTCTCTTGCAACATAAAGGTAGAGTTCATCGAATTCAAGCTAATTCTTAATGGTGTTCGTTGGGAGTAATAAACCATTGCCCGAACAAAGCATAAGATCCAGTTGTTCTGCCTCGTTCTTAATACTGTCATTTTGAATTGTGCAGTTCTAGTGCAACCTAAATAAAGTACCTACCTACCTTGAATTCATTTTAAAACTTTTCTCCCTCTATCCGAGATTTTGACTTCTATGAAATGTAAGATTACAAAAATTTGAACTACTTTTATTGTCAACATAAACATTATCTTTAATTGAAATTTATTTTAATGTCAGTTTAAGTTTAAAATTGAATGAATGGTGATGATATTTTCTTGATTTTTTACTTATTCTTGATTATTCTTGAACGAATTTAAATTCGTCTTCTTTTCAATTTTTAACATTTAGGGACAATTTAACGATTTCAGTTCGATGGGAATTAAATCAAAGATATTTTCGATAGGAATTAAATCAAATGGGAAAGTGTGATACTGACGTCTGTTATTTAGAGACTTTTCTAAAGGTTTACCACTATGAAGAAAATCTTCATTACTTTAAATTTTATTGGATTTCAAACGTAATTAATTGAGAAAATTGTTAATTTGCTTCTGCTTTATATATATATATATACATTATTTCTGTTTATTTAAAAGAAATAGATAGATAATTTTATAGCACTTTTTTTGAGTCACATTATTGTAGTAAAATTTGCCGAGGGAAAAAAAATAGACCTTACATTGCTAGTAAAGTTAATTTTAGTCAAATGAAGCGTTATTTTTTTTTATCTGTAGCTGTTATGTTAAATAAATTAAATAATTTTAATTGTATGAATTAAGCGGGTATTTTTTCTTTTTCTGTGCGATATTGCTTGTAGAAACACATTAACAGATATTTAACTGGAAGAGGATTACAAGTAAGTTCCCAACAAAAACTCTCCATTTAAACTATGTTTTCTCAATCCAGAACTCAGTAAATATCTTGCTTTCTGAACTGTTTTCATAATTACAAGGAAACGAAGATTATCTTTTAAAGCATCCAACTCCTCTATTTATCGACCATAGTAATATAAAATTATTAAATGAGATTAAAAATTATTGCTTGAAGTACATAAGCCGAACAAAAAATATTGTGTTTAAGAAAATAACTTCTATCGAGAAGAATATTGCTCAGGTTTTTGCTATTTATTGACTTGTAAAAAGTTTTAAAAAGTGATGTGTTCTGAAAACTTATTAGAACATTTTTCAAGTTGAGCCTGCAAAAATGACTTAGCATTTGATTCTATGAATTATTTAAACATTTTGTTTTTCTTAGTACTTATTAAAGAAATAATTTCATTTTTTGATGCTAATTGTAATTACTAGGCATATTATGCATTTATTTCAGTTTTTTAATTTCTTCCATTGCAATTATTTTGCATTGCGTTCTTTTCAACTTTCCATCCTACCTGATGGAATTTTAAAAAAATTGCTCTATAAAGTAAACAAGAAGCCGAAGTACAGAACTGATTTATATTGTTTGATATAAAATGTAAATGTTTATTATAATAGTTTCATTAGTCTTAATTAGATGGCGCTTTTCAAATTTTCAAAATATATTTTTGATGGGTTCGTTAAGAATAACATTTTAATAAGAATTTACAAAAAAAAAAAGAAAAAAAAGGCGTGACAAAACTTTTAAGCAACCAATCATTTTAAACTGTTTTGATTAACCAATGGAAGAGAGTTCTTTAATTTAAAAAATATACGTTTGATATTTTTCATAATTACTGATTAGAACGCAATTTAAATTTGATCTCGTCGTTTGTCAATCGAGATACTCTTTGATTCAATTGAAAATGGCAGCAGACATATTTAGAGATACACATTTACTAACTGCTTTAATGGAAAAAACAGGATATAACATAGTTCAAGAAAATGGCCAGCGTAAATATGGACCACCACCAGGTTGGATAGGCCCACCACCTCCAAAAGGATCTGAAATATTCATTGGAAAATTACCAAGAGATGTCTTTGAACATGAACTTGTTCCATTATGTGAGCAATTCGGTAACATTTATGAACTCCGTTTAATGATGGAATATAATGGAGGAAATCGCGGCTATGCTTTTGTAACTTTTACAAATAATGAAGATGCATTAAAAGCCATTAAAGGATTGGATGATTACGAGATAAGACCAAATCGTCACATTGGGGTTTGCAAATCAGTTGACAATTGTCGTCTTTTCATCGGTGGAATACCAAAAGATAAGAGTAAAGAAGAAATATTGAATGAAATCAGTAAGTTTACTGATGGTGTATCAAAAGTTATTCTATACAGCAGTATAGCGGATAAAACAAAAAATAGAGGATTTGCCTTTGTGGAATATGAGAGCCATCGGGCAGCTGCTATGGCCAGGCGTAAGCTAATATCTAATAGTGTGAAATTGTTTGATCATGAAATTGCTGTAGACTGGGCCCAACCTGAAGCACAAGTTGAAGATGAAACCATGAAAAGAGTAAGTTTTGTTGAATTAAATGTTTGAAAAATGTAGAGAATTATTTAATTTTTTTAAAGGAATAATGTTTTATACATTTTACATTTTGCTTTTTTTCCTCTTTAAAATTGAGTCATAATTATTCTTAATAATTTTTGGCAATATAATTACGAATTTGTTAAGATAAATTATATATGATACTCATCCATTTCGCCGCTGCAGGCGATAAAGTCGCCAATAAAAAGCAGTAAATTGTAATTGTAAAAAACAGTAAATTAAAAATAAATAAAATATCTGAATTTGTTCGCGCAATTGAAAAAAACCATTTAAATATGTTTAATATAATATTGGAATTTTAATAAATTCAGGCTAAACTAAAAGTAAGAAGTGGTAGCAGGAGTCTGTCTAGGTTTTTCTGAGAGGTACCTATTTTGTGAAAATTAAAAATTATATTAAAAAATCAACACAAAAATATAGATTTATCATTTCTTACGGGATACAAAAATAAAATTTTAAGAAAAAGTATTTTGTGAAACTACCGTTTTTCCTAAAGTTTAGTCAGTTTTAAACTATTTACCTATTTTTGAAAAAAGAGTTACACTTACACCAGTTAGACTTACACCAGTTGCACTTACAATTAAATTAAATTATTTTCTTTAAAAGTCTGCTTACAAATATTTATAAATTTATGAATATTCTTGATTATCAATAAATTGATGATTCTTGATGATAATTTTTCATTTTCCCTTTCCTTTTCAATGGTCCGAAATGTCTTTTCCGTAAAAGAAAAGAAAATTTCAGGGGTCAATTGGGGTCAATAACTTTGAAAATTATTAATATTGAATATCAAATGAGCATTGAAAAATAATTGAAAAAAAAAATTCAGTGGTACTCAGAAGAACTATCACCATTAATTTTTTGTAGACTTGGCGAAAATAATTGACGGTTTATAATAGAAGCCAAAAATAGAATGCCTAAAGTGGTCAGACTTATAACTCCGTTGCTATGGAAACCTCGACTTATTGCAATTAATTAAGTTGTCATATTCACTAGCAGAATGATGTAACCAAACAGGGTTTCAAAATGTAGCAAGCTATAGATAATTTCCCCCCAATTTTCTTTTATTTTTATTTATTTATTGTATTTTATTTTATTCCTTAAGAAAAATATTTTTTATTTACTTTATTATTATTATTTACATATTAAGAAAATAATATGCAAGTTAGAGTCATTATTAAAAATTAATTGCTTAATAACATTATAATAGAAATAAAGTTCCAAACGTGGCTTCGTTGTCTAAATACTTTACTAGTTTATATTATATAGATAGAATATTGAGAAGACCCACGGTAACTTCATGACTCAAGTTTAAATGAGTTTTCATTAAATTGCCAGTAAGAAAATATTGAATAATTGATATTGTGTTTCTCCAGTTTTAAAGTGCGGAAATATGTACAAATTTGTCGAAAACGATTTATTGTCAACAGTTTTATTCTCTTGCCAATTTAACTAAGCAATTATAAGACCTTAAAAATCAAAATTTATTTGTTTAGTAAAATTCATCGGTGAAACACTTCTGTTTAGCATCATTTTTTCTGTGTTGATAATAAGGAGAAAGGTTGAAAATTAAATATTTTATGGTGATTTCACTTTTATTATGTCATAAATTGTTGATTACATTGTGTATGTATTTTGTACGGACGCAAATTACAAATTTAAATTACATTTTTGAAATTAAATTCTAATTCTGTGAAGCCTATACTAAGACATTATTGTGTAAACGTCTAAAAGTCTCTAAATAGAATTAATATGAAAAATAAAATATTTATTAGTTTAAAATTGGTGCATTCCATTTTTTAAACTTTAAAAATTAAAATCTTATTTACTTTAGAATAAAAATGTTATGACGGGGGAAAAAATAACTCGAACGATGGTGAATTTGTAATTATTATTATTATTTTTTTGATAAGCAATTGATAAGAATAGTACATATATATGAAAAATATAATTTATTTATATATATTTAAAGCTCAAATAAAATCTTATGGACTGACTACCCAAGTAAAAATAAATGCGAACAGTCACCTGTAGAAGATTTAAAGAGCTTGAAGCAGTATATCAATCTAAACAAATGTGCGTATTGTGCTAACTTAAAGTGAAAATTACATCTTGAATCTAAACTTGTATAGTAACTATTTAGAAACATTACGAAGGAATAGTTAGGAGTAAAAATTCCCTCCTTGGAAAATGCGACATCTATACCACCCTTAAAACTCTTTATTAGATATAAACAATCTGAAACAGTTAATGTTTTTATCTGATTCCATTTTTAATGTTACAAAAGTGAAAATTTCTATTCTATATTGTAATTTAATGAAACTAACATCTATATTAATTTAAGATATTAAATTCGATGTAAAATTTTATCTGAATTATTCTTTCACGTTGCTTTTTTTTATTACTTTTTGATTTGAAACCATCCATAATTAATAACTATCTTTGTAAAAAAATATATGATCTGAACTAAAGAGTTTTATTGCATTATTGTGAGCAGAAATGTCTTTTTTGATCACTGAGTTTATATATATTTACATGTATACTCGAAACATGTTTTGTGAATTTTGATTGAATGCAGTATACTTCAATGTTTTTATTTTTAACAGTTTTTGAAATCTACTCACAAGACAATTTTAGAAACTATATATCTGGTATGTATAAAATTATTCGAGAGAGATTCGATCTTTTCCAACTGACTTTACCTCCCTCCCTTCCATGGCTTTCATCTTTCTTCTAACGAATTATGTTTTGCTATTCATCACAATAATAAACACAATCTAAAGGCTTCGCTTGTAAACTATATTCTAAAAATACACAAGTTTGTTTTAAAAAAAAAAAAATAATAATAATTCACAAAATGAAAATTGTTAAATTTTAGATAAATCACCAAACAAGATTGTTCTAGTATTTATTCATTTTTTTTTTACTTTTCTTTTCTGTTGTGGCTAATGCCAATATTCTCGCCAACTAAGCTAAGGTATTCAAGCATGTTGTTAAATTATAGTTTGTTTATTAATTTTTTTTATATACTGTCCATTTCTGTTAATTTTTTAATGAAGTTTAAATTTCATCTTTTAAAACCTTCCGAACATTTTTTTAATGTCATAAACTCGATAAAAATAAAAGTATAGCAAACGTAGTAAGCACACTAAGACTTGTCTTATAAAAAATTATTCTTATTTTTTTTAAAAAATATGGGCGACTAAAAATGTAGTCAACCGATGCACTTAATTTTTTTCGGTATATTTCCATTTCGCCGACGCTGTTGATTCAGTTGCTATTGCAAAGAAGTCACCAGGAGCAATGAAGAAAGAATGAAAAAATAAATAAATAAAACAGATTAACACCGGAAATATTGAAAACCAGGAATTATCTGGGAAATCGAGATTCGGAAAAAAGTCAGGAAGTAGTTAGAGAAAAAGAGATTAAAGTCAGGAATTATTAAAAAGCGTAATTTTTCCTGAAAACCGGGAGTTGTCAAGGAATTTGACTCCCTAACAAATTGCAAAATTTCACTCTGCCATTTTCAATACCATAATTTGCGCTTGCGCAAGAGAGGATTTTTAAAAAAAAATCCAATTTTTTTCTGTACTGACCTTCATTTGGTGCATCCTCAAGATTCTTGTATTATTCTTCAGCGTTTTTGCAGTATTGCCCATTGGGTACTTGCACTTCAAGAACAAGATCTGCCATACCAACACTTTTGACCTATAACGTCAGCGCTAGCTGGTCGTTTATAAGCAAGATGGCGTGTAAAAGTTTAGCAAAGTTTCTCTACATAAGTTAGAATATTAATTAACGATAAGTTAATTAAATATAGAGCCGTATCGCACATTGAATTAAATGAAATATAATTAATTCTCGTCTACTTCTTTACTTAACTTAGATTTATAATTTGTTTATGTATTTCATTGGAACCATGATATATTTTTGTTTTGTGTACCTAGCGACTTCGATGCATAATTAGTTTGTCTATAAATCACAAGGCTTCTAGCTCGTCTTTGTGTAAGCCTCTGTGTAAATATATTGTGGAAGAATTGAAATCTTGGAGAAAAATTCTTTGTGAGAGAATTCAGGATGTGTCTCTTAATAAAAGAATTGATACTTGACGTGCTTGGCTTACTCGAAATAGAATGGAAAGAACAGTTGCTAACGTAAGCAAATGCCGCGTTTCAACAACCAATCAGGATCGAGATACCCAAACTACGTCCCATTGCGTTGTAGGAGTCGGAATTACGGAACTTGAAATTAATGCCCTACGAGTTACATGTTGTTGTTTTTTACTCTACTTTTGTTTTTCAGTTTTCGTTATCATTGATTTATTATGACAAATTATTATTATTACCAGTATTTTTTTTTTTTTACAATTTCGATAATACATTAACTATTAGGAACAAAGCGTTTTTTTTATCGTCTGTTAGTTTATTTAATTTATTTGATATNTTTTTTTTTAATTGAATTGAATAAAATCAAATTTCTCAGGCGTGTGCATTGCAAATTTTGCCTGATGTGGAATCACATCTGCTTTCATAAATAAATAAAAACAGAGTAATAGTATAAGCATAATAATAATTGTAATAGTATAAGCATATCATTATTAATTATTAAAAGCAGACGATTGTTTTATGAAGCAGATTGTAGCTTTTTCATTTTACGAGTTCTGATACCACTACGTTTTGTGGTAGGGTATTGAGGTTTATTTTTCGTATTTAATAATATATATAGAGAGAGAAAGTAAAGGAGAAAATAAATCTTACACTACCTAGTAGAAAATTCGGCTACCTTCTCTACCATAAATGGGTTCACAGAAAATTCTTTACTTTTTCAAAGATTTAGTTTACAAGCTCCGAAATATGATACTCATATTTATGTTATGATTAAAATTCAAAAGGAGATGAGTAACAAAATATATTGCCTCTTTCTTCGCAGCTGCTTTCTTTTTAAAAACCTACTCTCTTTTGAATAACTGCAACTTCTCATAGCTTGCCAAATAATCCTATTTAAGGAACATCATGCAATACTGTGTACTTTGAACTAACTTATTTTCGATTTCTTTTCTTTATAATTCATTCATGTTTCCTGTATGCTTTAATAAAAACAAACTCAATATCTATTTAACATAGTTATATTTTTAGTTTATCTTACTGCACTTTGTATGTTATTTTATTGACTGTACTGTAGAGAGTAGCTTAAAAATTTAAAATAATAAAAAAAGATTTTTAATTTTATTTACTTATTTAATTATATAAATCTGATCCTTGTTCTGCTCCAGTTCTAAAACAGTTTCTTGACATTTCAAGTTTAATTCGAAACAGCAAAGAAATTCATGAGCCATAGCGCTGCTCATGAAAGCTTCTAAAAGTTTTTATTACAAAATAAAAAGGAAAGGATTTTGGGAAGCGAGAATCTCCCTAGAACAACTCGATCGATTATTTTAATTCCTTTTCTTTTTTGTAACCTAGCTTAATTATCACTTTAGCCCGCCCTCCTGAACAAACTATCAGGATACCTACATTGCGAGATTATTTTTATGTTAAAATTTTATAATTTGGATTTACCATTTCCTAAAATATTACATAATTTTTTTAATGAAATCAAAAATTATATTTTCTTTACTAGTTTAGCGATTAAGAAATTTGAAATCACTTACTTAGCGATATCAAAAAAGCTTTTTGTATTATAACGTCACATTTACATTTGCGTATTTATATTTTCCAGGATTTTTTACTAGATTTGATTTGTATTATTTATATAATCAGGGGTCTGTCTAGGTTTTTCTGAGAGGTACTCATTTTGTGAAAATTTAGGCTCAATATTTGTGAGAAATAAAAAATTAACACAAAAATATAGATTTATCGTTTCTTACTGGATACAAAAATAAAATTTTAAGAAAAAGTATTTTGTGAAATTTTTCCTAAAGTTAACGGAAGTAAATTTGGCCCCGACAGACCCCAAAATTATATTAAATATAATTTTGATAAATGATTTTTATCATTTATTCCTTTATAATAATGCTCATATACATAATTTTCTTCTCGTTCATTAGTTGAGATTGATTCTTTTTGGGTATTTATTCTATTTCATCTACCTAATTATTATTATTATTATTTTATAATTTAAAGGGAACATATAGTTTGAGATATATTTTATTAAATTTTCAAACTTTCATTACTTATTTTGATTAATAATATTTTTTTAAATGGAGTTATATCGGAATAGCAGTCACATTTAGTTCCTTTCCAGCAGTTAAGAAAATTTTTTCGTTATTTTCAGTAAATGATGATGTTTTGCATATTTTTTCCCCCGTCATATAGGTCAAAGTGCTTTATGTCCGTAATTTGTCAGCTTTAACTACAGAAGATCAGCTTCTTCGCTTATTTTCTATGGGTGGTGTTTTGAGAGTTGAAAGAGTTAAAAAAATGCGAGATTTTGCTTTTATTCATTATTCCAAGAGAGAAGATGCTGAAAATGCCCTGAAACAACTTGATGGTAATTATTTTATTTAAATAATCAGTTATTATTCGATTATCAATAATAATCTGATTTTTACTAAATGATAATTTTAATAACTTACATTTTGTTGTATTACTTTTTAAATAGTGATTTCCAGTAATATTTGTACTTAGTATTTATTCTTTAATTATATAAATCTTCAATTTTATTTTATAAAAGATTGTGCACTACTAAATCGGTAGAACAATATAATATCTCTATGAGAAATAACACTTGACCTTAGTATTTATTCCTTAATTACTTATAAATAAATCTGCATGGTAAAATGCGGGCATGCATGCTCGAATATAAATAGGGAATTTTATTGTTCGAAATTAGATTGAATGTGTTTTATAGGTTCCTTAAGTTTTTTAATTTTCTTTTTAAATGTGAAAGGTCTGAATTTTTATAATGCCTTTTTGAGCAGACCTTGCTAGCGTTGTTCATTTCAATTTATTGAATAGGTATGACTTGAGATAAAAAACTACTTGAATTATAAAATGAGGCCGTCTTCACGTATCTATGTAACAGGTTTTTATTTTTTTAACTTTATTAAATTTTTTAAAATTTAATTTACTTTAAACTGTTAGATACATTTTATGAAATTTTATGTATTTACCCAATCAAGTTTCCATTCTTCCTTGACGGTTCTCATCGTTCCACAGTGTAAGACACTGTTTCCGAAGTTAAACTAGTGCGGAAAAAACTGAAGTTTGATTAACCTGCAAAGGGACCAAGGGTGTGCTGTATCGGTCCTCGTTCAACAGATCTACCGTAAAGTGCTCGTGTTCAGGTCTTCTGATTACCAAAGGGGGAAGCCATCTCCTTCGCATTTGATAAAAATTTTAACGGCATGTCTTTGGAGTATTCTCAGTGTGTGGCATAAATCAAGGACCACCATCCTCGACGGCAACCAGTGTGTGTGAATTGCGTAAAGTAAGAATAGCCCTTCAGGAATTTTGAGAAATTCAAATTTTCAAATCGGGTCTCAATCGAAGCAGAAATAGACAACCGGTAGCGACTCGGCATTTGTATCTGAATCAGTTAATAAATCTAATCTAAATAAACAAAATTTATCATGGAAAATAAATTAATTACTTGTTTGGTGTCTACTATAACCTGCTACTATATTGTGGTACAAGTTTGTTTTCGTAAACATTAATCTGAATTTGTAATTTATCTTTTAAAAAGTGGTTTGATTAATGTTAACTTTAATAATTTATAGTTTTATTAAATATTTTGTTATTTGTCCTATGCACGGTTTTTTTAATAAATGAAAATTGATTTATAAAAGTTTTGTGTCATAGGGTGCTGCCAAAATTAAGATTTTCTCTGAATCGATAGTAAATAACTACAGAACGAAAATAATTGCTATACTGTAACTAGTATTGGTCTTAATTCTTGAATTTCATCAATGTATTAATACTTTGTCAACTGATTATTTTACACAGAAATTATGTTATGTCACGGGCTATTTTTTTGCAATTCAATTTGAAATAAAGTATAGATCTGTAAATAGGATATAGATCTTAAAAGCGAAAAACTTTTTGATTTTTTTAGGTTTTTAATTTATGGTTAATTAATGAAGGGATAGTTGTAAGTTGTATAATTTATTAGATATATATATAGATGATATTAGTGAGGTATTTTAAGAATTATTTGAATAAATTCGTCATTTTTGGTTTTTGTATTTTTAATTGTTATAAATTTTTATTTTATTTAAACTAATACAAAAATATTTAACAAACCTAGAATTGTCAGGGAATTTCTTTCAACTCCAAAAATCAGGGAAAGTTGCAATTTTCTTACAAAAACCTGGAAAATTCCTTCATTATTCCTGGAAAAAACCAATCTTAAAATTGTCAATAACAATACTCAGTTAAGGAGGTTTGAATTAAATAATTCTAACATCTATTACAATTATTCATTGTAAAAATTTTACATTTTAGACTTACTGAAATGCTTCCTTCCTCATATAATGATATTTATTTTACACAAAAAATCTAATACTTGGCAAAACAAATAAAAAAAAATCCAAATTTTCTGATGAAAAATTTTGTAGTATAGATAAAATATGGTATGGATTTTCATTGAAATCTACCTAGAAAAGTCAGGGAATTTTTTTTTCTGAAATTGAATCTGAAATTGAATCCCTGTCTAAATATTTGTAATATTTAAATGTTAAAATTGTGTTTGTAAATTTTTTTGTTCTGCATAAATATTTGCTATTTTTTAATAAAAAATAATTAAGTAAAAAAAATACATTTATAGGTTTTAGGAAATATATGGTTCTTAATTGTTATAGGGACCATAAAGCTAAGTTTGCCATCATATTTATTTATATTTATGTATACATATATATATATATATATATATACCAATTTATTATATTGGTGAAAAATCTGACAAGTAGTAGAAAACACATGGTCAATCAATGCATCAGGCTACAAAATATAAATTTTGTTATCAATTTGTTCTAGATCATCTTAGCAACCTCCTGTAATTAAAACTATTTTCATTTCAAGTTAGTTCAGTACAAAAGATTCAGTCAAATAAGAAATTCAATAACCAGCTTTTAATGTGATAAATAATCTAATCGAAAAAACTAGATTACTGCCATACATCCTATAATTAAATCTATCATGATCCATGTAATTTTAAAATTTAGTTGTTCAATACATTTTTATTTTAATTTTACATAATCCTAAAATTTTATTAACTAATGAAAAATGAAATGTATTTTATTTTTCACTCACCCTTAGATTATAGAAATTATTCTGTGTTCGCATTTAGAAAATGTTAAAAAAACATCGATTTTTAAAAAAAATATATTACATTTAGAGAATATGAATTTAAAAATGGTTACTTGATATTCTAAAAATAAATATTTAAATTTATATAATTCTGTTCAATTTTTATTCAGGAGTAAGATTTATATAATATTCTTATTAAATTTTCTTTGATTTAATTCTATTATTTTGGAATTATTGTCAAAAATATTTTATTTTCTATTTTATTAACTTTAATAAAGTTCTGATAATGACTTTATAATGTATTATTATAAATATTATGCTATATAAATATTTATTCTAAAATTATTTTCATTTCAAATACTATTTAAATTTATTGAGTAATTGTTTATTTTGATTCCTTAATGGATCTATTTTGTTTCTTTATTAGGTTGTGTATTTGATGGTTGTACACTTGAAGTTACTTGGGCAAAACCTCCTGATGCCCAAAAGCTAAGATCACCATCTGATAAGAGAGATTCACTTCATAGCATCTATAAACATTTAAACTATGATAGTTTGGAAAGCAGTTTTGATCACCTTGGTTTATCTCCTGACTCTATTTTGACCAAGTAATGTTTGAATATTTTTCTCTTTCTAATTCATATGCATATATACACACACAGCGGTGCAAAATAATTACGATTCCTTGCTCAAGATTGTGGTTTTACGGTTAGGGATTTTGAGAACTTTCTTAATAAGCTGTATTTGAAATAAGTTTTTTTTAATAAATTTTTTTTTTACCTTAACTACCAATGGTTTTGTTGTTTGCAGTTAACCTGTGATGTTTTTCTACTCCTATTAATAATTCTAAAAACAATAAATAAAAAATTGAAACTACTTGATAGAAATAATAATTAAAAAAACTCTCCCCTTTCTAACATGGTATTTTTAGAGTCAGTAAGGTCAAAGGTTAAAGAACTTGCTTGCAGGTGTTTCAAACAAATGATTATGGCTGCTTTATTTTTATTATTATTTTTTTCAAGTGTGTTTTTTCATTTGATTGTATAATAAGAATTTTTTCTTTGTTTATGCATGGATGAATATTGAAAAAGAAGTATTAAAAATGCTCACAGATGTTATTAAATAATTTGTAAAAGCCAAAGTAACACTCAAATTTTGTGGATTAAGTCCACTGTTTTTGGGATGTAGTTATTCAGATAAGAAGGATAAGGATATTTACAAATATTTGAAGATTCATAAAAAATATGAGGATTCCGTGAATCTGTACTTCTTATTATTGAAGAATTTACTGCCTACTTTTTTTTAGTTGCTATACTTTATTCCTACTAGAAAAAAAAAGGAGATTCAAAAATTGATTAAGGTGGTTGGTAGATCCATTAAGCATTATGCAATTAAAGTAATTATTAATTATCATATTAATTATTCTACTGTCTACTACTATTTTGGATTTTTTGCTTGTTTCTCATATATCATTGCTGTATCAAAAAGTATTTTAAATTTGGCAAGAAAAAGTCAAAATCATTTTTGCCCTACTCTAAGAACTGATACTTTATCTTCTCTCTTTAAAGAATAGCAACTAATGAAAACATAGCATTCCAGATATTTAAAATGTTATGAGTAAAAATTTTTAGTTGTTCAAATTAAAAGCTCTAAAAAGGCGATGAGGTCAAGTTCTCATTTTTAACCAAAATATAGAATTTTAATTCAAAGTAATCAATAGATAGATTTTTAATCAACCAATAAATTAAAGTGGCTTTTAATTAATTTATAAAAACTTTAAGAATTTATGTTTCTCTCTATTCTTAAAAATTGTATGGGCCTCTGATACGCTACATTTTAGGTGTTAAACTTAGTTTTACATTTTGTTTTGCTGTGCAAAACACATTGAAATTATTGAGGTGTGTAGAGAAGTGTACGGGAAGAACATTGGAATTAAAAAATTAACATTTGATAATTATTTATTATGTTATTAATTATTAAACTTGTTAGAAGAAATACCATACGAGCCACTCTATGGACTGCAGGAAGGCAATTGCAAAACTAGGTATTTGAAAGTGACATTTGTTTATAACTTCAACATGGAGTTTTGTTTTAAAATTCTGGTTTATTCAAAAATTATTGTCACTTATTTTTGCTTTATGTTAAATTTTACTTTGCTGCTTAAAATCTATAAGAATTAGAAATTTAAAATCTTGAAAGTGTTGAAATATGTACGAGGAGTTCAATGGAATGAAAAAAATTGCAGTTCAGTTACCAGTTCGAGAATTATTTACTATTAAACTTAAAGTAAAAGGAAAAACTATATGGGTCAAAATACTCCTCACTGAAATGTAACTACAGAGTTAAATTTTGAAGTGCTATTAGGACCATTTTGAAATTTAAACTTGACTAGAAATTTTTTTAAAATTCATATTTTGCAATTTTTGTTGAAGTGAAGTTTATTTCTCTTGAAATTTACATTTTGTAAGCTCATTGTTGCTGAAGACAACATGAATAAATAAATAAGAGAGAAAGATTAGATGTGGCCAGATTTAAATTTTAATATTTACTTTGAAATTTTTAAAAATATAAAAATTGAAAAGTATAAAAATTGTTTTCAAACTGTTAAGTGCTTATAGGGACCACTGATGTATATTGTTAAAAAAAATTACTTCTCATTCATTGTCTTTTTATTGCGTTGGACATTCTGTTTTCATTCTAACATTCTAAGTTTTTTTTTTCCAAATATATTTGATTATTTTTCAAAAATGAGGAATTTTTCCATTTCTTTGTAATTATCATTATAATAAAATGTGCTCTCTCAAAATTGTAATAATTAAATATTTTGTAACCAAATGATCTTTTTTATTGACTTTTTTTTACAAAAAAAGCTTTAAGAAGATGAAGAAGGAAGAACGGTTTATGCCAATGAAAGCTGATTCTGAGAAAAAACGAAGTTCTGCATAGGCAGAAACTGTTTACCTACAGGACTGGCCTATCTTTACTATAATAACTTTGATTATCCATGTTATTGATTTGCCAAAATTTAGTAATTCTGAAAATTCAACTGATGGCAATTCAATTGTAGCTTTAGTAAAAGAGAAAGAAAAAAAATGATAAGAAGCAATCACGGGGGTTGATGAGAAACGAACAAGGGGTGGAGCCTTTTAGCAATGCAAAAAAGAGTAATGTGCGATAGCTGTCTCAAATGTTAAAGGAATTATTAACATGTTTATCAATAAATTATTTTACTAGATCAGCATTTACTATGTAAACTCAGATTATTGTGAGTTTTGTTTAAATAATATTTATGATCCATACTTCATATTTTAATAAAAAATATGTTTATATTTAAAACTTTACTTTTAAATTTGAAGCTTATTCTACTAAAAGTTCTATTTATTGGATTAACTATTGGAAGTTCTATTGAAAAAATAAACACCTAACAGAATGAAAATTGTCTAAAATAAAGTTTGTCTAACTAAATTAATGACTAAATTTATATACATTTTAAAAGTAAGGAGAAAGAAAGATTTTATGATTATGGGCCATTGAATTGTGCTAGTTTTTTTTAGTTATTTCTTGAATTTTAGAAATAAAATAATTTATTTTACAACTGTTTTAAAATTTTATATATTTTAAAACAGGCTTTAATTAAAAAAAAAATTAAAATTTCTTGAAGGATTTTTTATAATAAAGAGTTATACTTATTTATATGCCTATTTACATAAATAGTTTTTTAATTGTTTTAAAATAAAACTATTTTTAGTTATAATCCTCTTCTTTCGAGAGCCAATTTGAAGTCAAGACTTCCTTTGAGCAGCAATATTCAAAACTTCAAGAGCCCATTTACAGTCACCAGACCTATTCAAGTATGCAAAGTTTTGTTTAATTAAGGCATTCAAAGTGTTAACTTATGTTTGTATTTCTTTTTACTGATATTTTCACAAAAACAGATTGTAAATTAAGTCTTGTTTTACTATTATTCATTTAAAGTTACTATTTAGTTTTGATATAAAATCCAGTCACGAATGGTTATAAGGTGCATTGTCTCATAATATTTCTCCACTGGTTCACATTTTCTAACTTCATTTCATTGATGCAAACATTTATCTGAACTGATACACACTTCAGTTTTGTGACATTTTCCTTTATTAAGTATATTAACACTTCTACTGCCGACTGCAAATAAGTTATAGGAATTGGATTATTTCAAAAGGTGATTAGAAATTAATGTATTGGTTGATAGTTATGAATAATTAATTATTATCTCTTATTGTTGATTATATTATTCAATATTTAGAATTCCAATATTCTGTATTGTTGATTTATTATTCAATATTCTGAAAACATTCAATATTCAAAATGATACTTATTTTAAAAAGCTTTTAAGCTATAAAGTTAGCAGTATAATTGGTAAAATTATGGTCAGCATAAGGTAATAGCCTTTGTGCAATGCTGACAACAGTACCACTATCTTTTTGTTGGTTTTGAAATTGTTAAGACTTACATTACATTATCCTTGTTGACTGACAAACTGACTGTTGTTAGGATTGCTTTTCTTTGAATCATATTTTTCTGTTAATCGTTTTCTGTATTTTTTAAAAAGTTAATTGCGAATATTTTTTTCAGCTACTGAATTATATTTGCCTCGAAAATGGATGGGGAGAACCAATTTTTAATGTTTCTTGTATTGAAACTGATCCATCAGAGTTATTCTTTGTTTGCTCAGTATGTATTATTTTTTATAAATTTTATTAATGATGTAGTTCACATTCACCAAATAACTCAATGATTAACTTCTATCTGGTTATTTCAACATTTTTAATTTGATATTCTTATTATGTAGGTGTATTTTGCAAAATCAGCATATTAATGTGTTATTATAGATGGGTTTATATGACAAAAATTACTTTTGTAAAACTGATAAATTATAAGATATTTAAACACAAAAATTCTTTTGTTTCATCAAATTTTTTAGTGTATTACATTGAACTGTATAAAAGTGATTTCAAACTCAAATACAGAAATTAAAAATCTTATTTTATATTTTTATTTATTTGATTTATTTACTACAATTCATATAGGTTGTTATCCCAGGATTCACACCAATGGTTCGTAAATTTATGTCTGATAAGGTGTGCCGATCTCCAGAAGAGGCTAAATATAATGGTGCCAGCTATGTTTTGAAAAAACTTAGTATCACTGGTAAAATTCCTATTGCATATTATTTTGTTATTTTACATTTGAATTGAAAGGGATGAATTTTTATTAGGTTTTATCATTTTATTAAGTAAAATACAAATGAAAAAAAATTATGACACTTTATTTTATAGTACAATTTTAATTAACTGGGATCTGATTTGCCCCATCCCAGAAAGAAATGAGAAAGAAATTGAAATGTGGATCGGAGCTGTTGAAATATGCTTATCTAGTCAATCTTTGGTACAGGCAACTGGTTTTGCTTCCGTTCTGGAATGCTGGTGAGGTGGAACTAGGTGAGATATGATAGGAAATACCTTAATGGGGGAGGGGGTCCTCACAGAATATGTCTACATTAATAATGATTAATATGTCCTTGCAATATCAGTTTTGTTCAGATTAACATATTTCCACATATTCATTCCATTTTTTTAAATCAAAATTTGCATAAATTAGCTTTACTGGGATATTTTTTTATCTGAGATGTAGCATTTCACGATCATCCTGGTTAATCAAAAGTTTACTTATAACTGATTACTTTTGTTGCCTTAAGTATATACTATTCTTCAAGTTTACCATGTAACCATATTATGTTTCATTTCATTTCAACCTTAAATTTTGTTACTATTACAAACTTTTCTTTTTTGTGAAAATCATATCAATTTTTGATTTATACTTAGCTTAATATTTTCTTATAAAAGGCATTTTTAGATTTTATGAAATTATCAATACTATTTAACTGTCAAATATTAATGAATGAAAAAAAAAGCATCTTACATTGATCTAAGTGAATATATTTTAATGAAAAGGCAGTGTAAAAAGCTGGAAAAAATATGAGTATATAAATTAATATAATTGTTTTAGTATTACGAGGGCAACTGTTGTGCAATAGTTATATGTTAAATCAAGTAACAAGTTGACACACAGTTCATTTTATGATGCTTTAAGTGTAAATTAATTCCATGAGAGATCTTCATTCTCTGAGCATTAGTTACATTATTTCTGCACTATAATACTAAGGTAAATAGCTAGTTTTTCTGCATCAAAATACCGGTTTTACTTATTTTATTCAATTGGAAAGTAGCGTGTGGCAGAGAAATATATTTGTACTAGTACAATGTTGTCAAGGAACTCTATGCTTGGAGGGTTTATAATATATGTTAACTTTTGCACCTTAAGCAATATTTCTCATTAAAATACTTATTTTTATTATTTAATGGTACACTTTGGTTAAAATACTCACAAAGAGTAAAAAATATATGCATCAGATTTCCATTTCTTTTAGGTTTAATAAGCTTAATTTGCCCATAAAAGATATGTGGGTGACTTTATTGAATGTAATTTCTGTACCCCTAATTTTCTTTTAAGAAATGACAAACAAGTAAAAAGGTTTTAATTTGTACAAAATGTAATATTTTTTTAAAATAAAATAAGAATAGTTTAATTAAAGAAATGAACTATTTATTTTTATCTATTTGGCAGAAACTATTGTTTTTGTAATTACAGTACCTGTAATTACTGCACTTTTCTGAAATGTACTTAAAGGAGACAGCTATTACCTAAGCTTTTATGCTTACTGTACTGTTCAAAAAAACTTTTAATATATTTGATTCATTGGGTTCTGTTATTACATGTCTAGTTTCTTTTTTGTAGGATTTTGAACTATAATAAGGAACATCATTATTTGACAATAAGAACCTTGTTAATAAATATAAGAATACAAAATTTTAAAACTTAAAGGCAAATTTATGCCTGTATTTAAATAATCTACTTACAAGCCTTTAGATGGGTATAAATACATTCTATTTTGTGTTCCAACTATATTTGAGTATCAAAGTTTTAAATTTGTTAAATAAAATTAAACAGATAAGAAAAAAAATTCCCATTTTTATTTATTTATTTTTAAATTTTTAATTAAAAGTTTACTTTAGCATTTTTGTGTTAACTTTTTACTCTTATCAAGAATTGAATGATTTAGGTTATTTGCACAATTGCTTTAAATTATAATTTTAAAAACATTAATATCTGAAATTAGTAATTTTTTTTTGTTAATTTTTGTATAAAAAATTGTGAGTACTAATAAGAATTGGGGTTATCTGAAAATATTTTTTAGGTATTATAGAAATTTGCAATTTCAATTTTAATTACTCAGTGAAATTTTTTAATTTTAGATAAATTGTATAAATATTTATATAATTGTATAAATCTGGGAAACCTTCCAAGAGTAGAGTTCTTGGACAGCAATAAAACTTTTCCTCGAGTAAAAAGTTAACTGAAATTTTACTGGGCTGTTTCGATAAAAGGTTTTATTGGTCATAGTAACAAGATATACAGAAAAATGAAATGAGTCATTTAACAAATTCCTCTAAGGCCAATTTCACTCATTTTCAAACCATAAACAATTTAAATGAAAAATACAAATTATATTTTAAATTATTATAGAGGGAATGGAGTAGTTTAGAAAAATATATATCTTAAAATTAAAAAAAAGGAAAAAAAATGAAATTAACGAATTTTTTTTTCAGTTTATGGCCATTATTGTCCAAGCACTCAAAAACATAATTTAAAATAACCAATAAGAGATTTGGTTTTAAATTGCTATGTGTTTGTTTATAAAATGTGGTGGGGGAAAATATAAATAATGCAAAGATGTTTTTGAAATAAAAAATTAAAGATTCTTATGGAAATTGTTGTAGGCAAAAGTTAACATTTTGAGAAAATTACCCATATAGTTTTTTATTATACATCATTTTATTAATTTGAAAAACTTTTTTTAACGCAATAAATTAAAAAACCCAAAATAAAAACTATCATAAGAACTGCGAAATATTAGTAAGACAAACTATAAGTTACTTTCCAAAATAATAGCTATCAATATAATTCATGTCTTTTAAGAAAATAGTTTAATTTAAAATAGAGCTTGGGGAGAAAAATTATGTGAAATTTATTTTCATAGTGTCAAGTATCAAGTAAAGTAATTAGATTAGATTTTAGATTATTATTACTAGAAAACTACTCAATGAAATATAACATGATTAAATAGTCAATGACCTTCACTGAATGAAATATTCTGAAAGTTTGATTTTAACCATTATAGTTTTCATTAAAAAGTGCAATGAAAAAATAGTTATTACCATTATTAGGCTGGTCACAAGACAGGGAAAAGTAAAGGAATTTTATAAATCTGGAAATCTCAAGAAATATAATTTAAGTACTCAAAACATCAGGGAAAAGTCAGTATTCACTTTCCGACTTTCCACATTTAAGAAAAAGGATCTTGTAAAAAATTTTTATTTTGAATTTTAGTAACAATTGTAAGTGTTAATATATTTTATGTACAAGAATGTCATAAAATTTATTTATGAAATACCCACTGGTTACAAAAATCAGTGAAACTTAATTCAAAAAGTTAAAAAAATGTGAATAATGTTTTTTTTCTGAGTATTTGTGATCTACCCTGATAATATAATGAATAAAAAGTTTGCAACACAACCTTGTTTTTAATCTTAAAAATTGCATTTTAAATTTCTTTATTTAAACTAAAATTTAATTTAACTAAAATTTAATTTAAAATTTTCCTGGATAAAAAAAAATTCATTTTGGTTTTATTTAAAAAAAATTCATAATGATTTCAGTATATTTAATTCTAGAGTTTTCTGTTATAGAGTCTGGAATAACTGAACTATTTGATGTAATTTCATTTTGAAACTTTTTAAAAATGAAGTTTCCAATACTTTAAATAGCCATTCTTCGCCATATATATGATCAAATTCTAAAGTTTATAGCTAATTTTACCAGTCACTATTATTAGCTAAATCTGCATTGCTTATAAATTTTTTTTAAACAAAAATGTATGTATGTTCACAATAATATGCATTATTTTTTTTTTAAAGATATTGATGGTCCAGTTGTTCCTCCTTCACCAAGTGCTTCAAATTCTTTTTCAAAGAATTATTCTATGGGAAGTGGTTTGTTTTCTGGAAAATCAAGTAAATATATTTAAAATAATTGATTGAATTTTTTCACTTTGTAAGTTTATTATTTTATAATGGAATCTATAACTTTATCATAAAAGATTATTCTATTATCATATATTCTATTAAAGCAAACCAGAGTGGTCTGATTTCTAAACTTGATAAATGCCATCCAGAATTTTAATTTATTTTTAAAAGACAATGGATTTTCAAAATCAAAAACTGTAATTTTTATTCGATCATTTTGAAATTTTAACAAAGAATTTGTATCATTAATGCCAATGTTGACAAAATTTTTCCTTAAAGTAACTGATTTTAAAGCTATTTTTTAAATTTTTTTCCTAATTTTTCATAGTTAAAAAATACTTTGTGAGTTTAAGTTTTTAACTTTTTACCAAAATACTATTTTCTATCCATACACTAGAACCTTGGTCGATCGCTTCTCATGGGACTATTCATTATGAATGATAGATACAGGGAATGCAGGTTAACATACATTAAGTATTGACTTGAAAATGTATCTGAAGCAATAAATTAATGGACTTGAAAATTAATAAGTTTACTATAAGTATAAAAAAAATTATTGAAAAATATTTTGTCCATTATGCAAAAACATTTATGATGCAAACATATGAACACATTTATTTATTTAAATATTTCTAATGCACATACTCATATAAATACAGAATATTGCTCTTTCTCCCTCTTCTGTAAATGTTGGCACTAGCTGTGGTTTCGTTTTTACTTTCTCGTAGTATCACTCTGCGCTACTTGAGATTTGCAATTTTTTCTTAAACTGACAACACCACACCACAAGTCTCAACATTTTCACAAAACTGTAACAAATCCTTATATTTTCTTCATCATTAACATCAGGAATTACTATTTTCCTTCTCAAAGCAAAAGAATTTTGATATTTTTAATATGCCATCAGAATTTCTGAACAATAGATGCTAGAATTTTCTGGTTTTAAAAGCTATCTAAATGGATTTTTATTCACATTATAAGAATAGCATTTGTAACGAAACCATTAAAACACGAAGGCACATATGGTAACAACGTATCAAGGTTCGACTTTATTTTAATAGACTTAAGCGGTTTTGGTAACCATAAAAATATAAAACTTATGTAAGGGTTAAATTTTCCCATTTCAGCCAAGAAATGCATTGTCTATTTATAAAATAAGTATATTTCTTACATTCCAATAAGAGACAAAAGTATTAAATAAACCATATCAAACAGCCGTATTATAATAAACTTATGTAGTTTTCAGTAATCAATTTATTATTTACCTAATTTTTTACTTGACTTTTAAGGAATAAAGTAATTTTTCTGAAGTCTAGAAAATATTGTTCTTCTTAAAATTTTTTTTTCACTATAACTAAGGAGACAAGTGATATCAAAGGAAAACAAACACTAAATAGTAATAACTGTCTATTTTAAATTATATAGGATTGTAAGTAATAGATTTTGCAGTAGGAAGCTTTTTATACATATGTTTTAAATTCAAAATGTTACAGATTGAAATTATAAGAATAATTTTTAGTGGTAAGTAATAATTTTCTTTATTTTTATAAATAATCTTACATCAAAATTACTTTGCTTTCAATTTTTATTTATTAATGAAATTTTGTTTGGTTATTATATGATCACCCATCTTTTACTTTTGTCAACTTTGTTATGGAACTCTATTAAAATCTGCTTTATGCGGAGGGGAAAAAATAAATGTACTTGTTTTTGAAAGAAAGGTTCTTTTAAATTTGAGAAATATATCAGAATTTCAAGCAGTGGGCAGGAATAAATGCTTAAGTTTAAGGAATGCAGGCCTTTAAGGTACACATTTAGACATTTTAAAATTGATTGGTTTGATTTGTTTGTAAGTAATATCTGTTTCTTCCATGGAAATCAATTGCTCTATTCAAAACAAGCATTTGTTGTTTTTGTATTAAAAAAAAAAAATTGCTTTCATTCATTCTTTATTGAAATTTTGTCCCACAGTTGGTAATTTGGACTTTTGTTCTCCGCAAAAAAGTTCTCCTATTCAACCCTTTAAGACACAAGGACAATTCTCATCTTTTTTGAATGAAAGAGGGCAGGGTGATGGATTTATGAATGCTGCTCAGTCTTTAGACGGGAATGCATTTGATGATTTAGAAAATTGTCCCCCTCTGTTGGATCCTAATACTCGTAAGTTTATTTATTTATCATTATTTTTTTGGTTTACTGGATTAGCTTTATTTTAAATGCATATAGTATTCATTATATTTTTATAAACTTAAAATTAATTATTATTAAGTTATTTACTAAGACAAAGTTTTTAGTTTAGTTAATTTAGTTCAAGCAATGATAATTCTTTTCGAAAATGTGAACTTTCTTTCACTAAATGGTTATTTGCTCTTTATGATGGTTAATGCCTCCCTTTCCCCTTGTTTATCTCTTACTAACCAAATGAATGGTGATATCTGATGTAATTAATGGGTTTGATACAACTACTAGACCCTATTTTTTTCGGCTTTTCTTTTACAGTTGCTCAGTATTTTTGCTGACAAAGCTCTGACACTGGTATTATTATATATTTATATCGAGCAATTCCAAGAATGTCCTAGCTCAGTTGGTTAAAGAGTTGTGCTAATAACAAGAAGGTTATGGATTTGATCCTGCCATAAGTCAGTATTGCAATTTTAAATATAATGTCTGACCCAACTAATTGTTTTATTGATAGAAATACTAGACCTTATTTTCTTCAGCTTTCTTTTACTGTTGATCAGTATTTTTGCTGACAAAGTTCTGATATAGTCATTATTATGCATTTATATTAACCAATTGCAAGCACGTCTCATTAACTCAGTAACTTTGTGTTAATTACAGAAAGGTCGTGGGTTCGATCCTAGGCCAGTAATATTGTGATCACAGTTCATAATTGTTGATGTTCATTATTGTTCATTTATGCAATATTTTAATAATGACTAATAATTATAATAGTAATAATTTTTATTATTGGTATTTGTAAAACAATAATAATTTGTAGCAATAATTATCTAGATAAAAAGATTTATTTAACCTTTTATTTCTATTTAACACGGTTGGTTTCACTATGGATAAACCAATGCATCTCACCTCAAATTGCAGTTTACTGTAGGTAACAAATATACAAAGATGAGAAAATTTTAGGAAAAATAAAATGCAATTTTTTTTAATGCTAAACAAAAAAGTTGGAAATAAAGTAATTTAAAAACTTAAAATCATTTGAAAAAACTTTTCTATTGTTCTGCTAGTAAAAGTAAGAAATAAGAGTGTAACTTGTAAAAATTAAGTTGATATAGTCGCAGTGATAATTTTCCAGATGTATGTTCATTTTTATGAATTTACCTTAAAATATGTTGTAAGAATTTCTTATAAAATATTTAAAGAAAGCTGTTAAAAAGTCAGCAGTTTTTGCTTAATAATAGTAACGTCAAGTAAACTACCGAATTTGCATTTTATAAAAAGTTTTGAAAGAAATTATTGCAGCACATTTTAAGATAAACTTTTTCTGAAATGAACTTAATATAACTGTTTTTATTTGTTGGTGGCTGGAGAAGATATAAAAAAATTAAAAAACAAATTTCTGTTAAATTTCTATTTTTTTTATATTTTTCTAGTTTTTTAAGACATTGCAAAATTTTAAAAATAAATAAATATATAAATTAAAAAAAAGAAATAGACTTCATTTTATACGAATAAAAATTGCAAATTGTAGTGCCTTCAATTTGAAAACTTTCTCCCCTTACATAAATTCATAAATTTATGTGATTTTCAAGGTATGAATTTTGAAATTTTTTAACTTAAATTAGCAAATAAAATTATAAAATTGAAATTTTTATACAAGAAATAATAATTTAAGATAACATTTATTTATTGTCATATAATATTTCCATTTATTTATTTTAATAATATGTTTTAAAAATTTTATATCATTGTAAATAATGTTCTGCAAAACTATTAAAATTAGTTTTTCACAAAATGATGTACCAATTTCGAAATAGAAAATTAAAAATAGTTTTGAAGATATTTTATTGACCTTGACAACAAAAATAAACAGCATATCAGGCACTTCTTATCTTTCATAAAAGCATTTTGTGAAAGAAATTTCTTAGTTAGCAATTTAACATCAAGAATATAAATTTTAAAATTGATATTACAACCTAGAGTTCTAATTATGTTTTCAATAAGAATAAGAAACTTAAAAATTTCTTTGATTCCTTTAAAATACAATTTCTTGTTTATGTTAACAAAACAAAATAAATGTATAAAAAATTCTATAAATTAAAAGTTTTGCTTAAAAGTTCTACACTTTTGCCTTTCATAATAATTTTAAGTCCATCTAAAATGTAGAATATTAGCCCATAATTTGCCTGGTGAGTCATGGAGATTAAAAGCTCCATATTTAAAATATAAATGAATAAGTAGAAAAATAATAATGAAAAAAATACATTATATTACAATGAAAACAACTTGTTCTTTTGTTATTGAATTTACAGAAAAAAAGAAAAAAGATGTATTTTTCTCACTTGAATTACCAACCTAAACCTAAATGCTAATTAATAAGTTAAGAAAATTCTTAGTAAGTATGGAAAATATTTATTTTTATTATGTATAATTCTATGTGTTACATATCCTTGATCCAGCAATTTTTAAAAATTTTATGTGACATTCTCTGTCACACTTTTTTGCCAAGTTCGTTAGGGTGTGATTTAAAAAAAAAAAAATCAGTGTTCAAAAATTCAAAATTTCAAACTCTTTAATGCTGAAAAACTGCTTTGTCAACTAACAATCATTTGAATGATTAAAGTTTTGAAAAATCTTTCATTGGCACTTTTCAAATTGTCCAGTCAAGAGCCAAAGTAGCTGTAAATTCATTCATTTGAACAAAATAAATGAGAGATTTGGTTTAATTAATCTTTTTATTATTTTTTTCTTTCTGTTTCATAAGTTTATTTCTACTTTGGTGATTCCTTCAGTGGCTGATCAGCTCACTTCAGGAATATTTTCAGCTTTATCCAAGTCTTTTAGTTTTTATCCAAGTCTTTTGTGTTGATTTTGTCTTTAATTGTTATTGCAGTACTAAAAAGAATTAAATGTATGTGATTAAGTTTGTAATTTTTTTTTCTTTAGCAATTGAGCCTAATAGTATTCTTGGATTGCTAGCATCTGTAGCTGCTGCCTCGAATGTGGATCTTCCTATTTTCAACAAGCCTAAGCTCTGAAGATCTTTGTTGAATTTATTGATAAGAATTTCGTATATATATTGATTTCTTTTTCTTTTTGTTGTACTTAAAATAATTCATGATATTTTATGTGATGCTGAATACTTTTTGATTGATAAGAAATTATTTAGCTGTCTCAAAGATATAGCCAAAATTATAAATTTTCTACTTACTGTTAAAGAGCCTTTAACATTTACTTTATATTTGAAGACTTTGAGTTCAACAAATTTGTTAATGAGTTTTATATGAAGTGAATTTATAAATCACTTTTTACTATTTTGCTGATATATATATAGTTTTTTGAAGTAGCGTTACTTGATAACCATAACTGGAGAAATTGTTAAATTACTATACCAAATTCTTATTTTCAAAAATGTAATATTTCATTTAACATTTTTTTCTAATAATTGTTACTTACTTAATATGCTTTGAAAACTTTTTTGATAATATACTAATGAGGTAATGGTATTCAAAGAAAATTGTTGAAAGCATCAGATCCATTCATCAAAATCTTAGTTAATTATTTTTTTTGTTACTCTTTTTAAATATAATCAAAATTGTGTTCTCAGCTTCTGCACTAATTTTTTTTTATGATGTTGAGTTAATAAATGGTAAAAGAAATTGTCTTTAAAATCTCTGTTAAGAACACTTGTTGAATAACAAAATTATTATTGTAATTTAAACAAAAATATTAAAACTCTTTGAATTTTTTTCTAAATTTTAGTATTGTACTGTATTTAAAATGTGTACTTGTTTATTAACAGATTAATTTTTGCAGTCATAAATTTAGTATTGATCAAGTTATTCAGAACAATTATATAAGGTTGTTGATTTCAGCACTTTATTTAAATTTTAAATATCTAGATATAACTTGTTGCTGGTATTAAGCTTAAGAAAAGTATCTAAAATTTATAATGATGTTTACAATCCCTTTAAATTCCATCACTTTTTCAATAAGAACTGGATTTAAAAATAGAGCTTTTCAGTATTTAATAACTTAAATCACCGCTCATAATTTCAATAAATTTTCATAATCATTTCCATAATATTTGATTCAAATTTTACTTACTGTTAAAAAAAATTACTGTTTACTTTAATTAGTTTTTCTATTGAAAATTCATAATATTTAATACATGTTGACTCTTTTTCAAGTAACTCGGATCTTCAATTTAAAAAGAAAAATCTATGTATTTTTTTTGGTTTTGTTAGTATGATCTAACGCAAACAAATTTATATTTTTAAAAAGAAATTTCTTAAAATCGTAATGAAAATCTAAAGTTTATTGATAAAACCTAATGTTATCATGAATATATATGCAAATGTTATAAATATGTTTGCTTGTTCGTATGATGCATTTGGTTGCAAACAGGTTTATATATTTTTATAATAATTTCCTTTAGACTGTAATGAAAATCTCAAAGAAGTTGAGGAAACACAATTTCTCTTCTTAGTTTTCTTGAATTTATGTGCTGATGTTAGAAATATTGTGTTTAAATTATACTTTAAAGAAGGAATCAAAAAGAAATTATTGATTTGATAAAGCTTCAGCGTGTTTTTTCATAAAAGATTTATATTTTAAAAAATAATTATAATATTGTTTTTTGAAATATTTTAGTTTTCAGATAATTTATTGATAATGCCATTAAAGTTATTAATATATATATCCAAGTGTTATTCAACATTAAATTTTTCATGTGACTGTATCATACTTATAGCAATGATTTTTAGAGAAGTAATAATATTTCTTTAATTTTATAAGTTTTTTTAATACTCAATTTTATTTTTATAAATTATTGGACTGAAGTTGTTATTTTTATCAATGACTTTAAAACACTCAGTATATTTCACTATACTTTTTAATATGTTCTTGCATAACATATTTTGTACTTTTTTAAGTATGAAAACTGGGTAAATGCAAGCTCACAAAAAAAAAAAAAGCTTTTTAACATATTTATTGCCTAATTTAAGATTTTATCAATGTTCCAAAAACAATGAATTTAAGATTTTTAAATTGTTTAAATGGGTTGTTCTTTTAATAACTTATTATTTTCAGAATGAATTATGCTTAGAAAGACATTTCATATATTTATTATTTTTCCTAAAAATTTAATTTTGTTGTCCTGTGTTATTTTAAATTTATCCCCTCTCATTTATTGCCATACAGAACAATAACTCTATGCTTGAATTTAAGTTTATTTACTGAAGAGTGCAGCTTATGGATATTTGTTTCACATATTTATTGTATACATGTTATTTTGTTATATTTATTGACTTTTGCCAACATCCGAGTAAATAGAATATTAAACCTATGCATTTTTATTTATTTTAATATTTTCTATTTTTAAGAGATAAAATCTTTTGAATTCTAACATTCATTTTTATTACATTCTTTATGTGTGAATAAACAATAATGGAATTTTTTTCTGCATTATAAGCATAAAACTATAATGAATTTTTTCTATGTTTTATTTTTTATCTACTTAGCATTGCTTGTTTTTAAACAGTAATATTTTTGAAGCTTAACAGAAAAGTTTACTTAAGTTTATGTTAAATGGTCTTCTTAATATTTATTGAATAAATTTTATCTTGTTATATTTGTTAACTTATGAATGCATGGAATATTAGGTCAACGTTTTTAAAGTAAAGTTATATTTTTGCTTTTAAATTTTTAGAGAATAAACTCTTCTAGCACACTATATGCATTCTTATTTTATTTATTCCTTGTGTATAAAACTTATAGAATATTAAACCTATGCATTTTTATTTGTTTTAATATTTTTTAATTTTAAGAAATAAAACCTTTTGAATTCTAACATTCCTTTTTTATTACATTCTTTATTTGAGAATAAACAATAATGGAATTTTTTTTTGCATTATAAGCATAAAACTATAATGAATTTTTCCTATGTTATATTTTTTATCCACTTAGCATTGCTTGTTTTTAAACGTTAATAATTTTTGAAGCTAAACAGAAAAGTTTAGTTAAGTTTATGTTAAATGGTATTTTTAATATTTATTGAATAAATTTTATCTTGTTATATTTGTTAACTTATGAATGCATGGAATATTAGGTCAACGTTTTTAAAGTAAAGTTATATTTTTGCTTTTAAATTTTTAGAGAATAAACTCTTCTAGCACACTATATGCATTCTTATTTTATTTATTCCTTGTGTATAAAACTTATAGAATATTAAACCTATGCATTTTTATTTGTTTTAATATTTTTTAATTTTAAGAAATAAAACCTTTTGAATTCTAACATTCCTTTTTTATTACATTCTTTATGTGTGAAGAAACAATAATGGAATTTTTTTTGCACTATTAGCATAAAACTATAATGAATTTTTCCTATGTTATGTTTTTTATCCACTTAGCATTGCTTGTTTTTAAACATTAATAATTTTTGAAGCTAAACAGAAAAGTTTAATTAAGTTTATGTTAAATGGTCTTCTTAATATTTATTGAATAAATTTTATCTTGTTATATTTGTTAACTTATGGATGCATGGAATATTAGGTCAATGTTTTTAAAGTAAAGTTATGTTTTTGCTTTTAAATTTTTAGAGAATAAACTCTTCTAATACACTATATGCATTCTTATTTTATTTATTTCTTGTGTATAAAACTTTAATGAATTTTTCCCTTTTCTTATCGACTTTTCATTGCTAGGAACTGTATTAATGAATTTTTAAAGCTAAATTGAAAAATTCGAGATTAAAACTGTTATGATATAACTTTTTATTGGATTTATGTTACTTTATCTGATGAATTGTGAAAGGAACTATTTATTTGTATTTTAAACTATTTAATTTATTACTAAAATGTATTTTATCTAATATTACTGTAGCTATCAAAATTTTTTCATTGAAAATAAATGTTATTTATTCATTTTTGTGTGTGTTTTTAGTGCTTAATACTCTGTTTTTATAATTTTTTTCCGTAATTTTTGCCTCTCAGAGAGGAGAAGTATATTAGTAAAAGAAAATATTTATATCCTTTTAGATTAAAATTTTTTCATAAAAATGGTTATACTATCAATGATATATTAAATCAACTTATCTTACTGTTTTTAAAAATTGAAGGAAAGGTGATTCTTATAGTTTTAAGTTAACATTAGTAGCAGACTATTTTAAATGAAATTAAGCTGAATAATTAAACTTAAATAACTAATTTTGTTAGTCACTTTGTTGTTTTGTAATTATTACAAAGAAATTTTCAACCAGTTTTCAATATTTTGAACTACTTACGAGTCCCGAAGTGGAAACTGTCCAGCATGGCAGTGGATGCTGCATATTTTCACATCACTTGCAGATTATTTTTTATTCAGATTAAGAAATAATAGTAATAATTTGTTTGTCAAACAATGTAAATTTTTAAAGTTTTTTAAAATTTTTATTTAAAGTATTTAAAATTGTCGAACAAAATAGAGATGAAGAGAAAAGGTATATATTTTTGTTCTATCTCTATCTTAAGAAATCATTTCTTTTTAAAAATTAAGACCCAAAACAGGTGCTGTCTGCATGGGTGTAGTACCTTACACTACCCTACAATAATGAAGGAGACACTTCAGTTTTTGACGAATTTTTAAATTTCTCAAGAAATATATAAAAGATTTTTTTGTAACTTTCAAGCTAATTAGTACATGCATTTTTCCATACTTAGCAATAATGTTAAAACTTTCAGATGTTTCAGGGACTGACAATAGATTTTGATAGAAAACAAGTATTTCTGAACACCCTATATCAAGCAATAAGCATGTGACTTATGCCAATTACTTTGATTGTTATTTGCAATAACTGCATAAAATTTCATAAACTTAAATGTTTATGCAGACATGGAGATTTAAAAAAAAAAATTTTTTTTTTGTTGCTATTACTGTAAAAATATTCAATATTCAACAAAATTTTTGGAGCAATTAAAAATAATTACTAAATTATTGTTATAAAATTAAAAATAAATTTGTAACAATTTGCCTAAGATATGATTATTTAAAATAATTCTTCTATACTGCACATGTGTGGAAAAAATGTGAAAAATCTTTTTTATAATATTGTAGTTAATCATCTTTGGCAACTAATGAAGAAGGTCTGCTTTGAATATCTTAAAAGTTTGTAAAGTTTCAGGCAATTTTCTAAGTAGTTTTTGTACTTTTTAAAAGAAAGCTCAAAATGGTATGGGATTTTCCACAAATATCATTTTGTACTATTAAACAAGATATATTAAAATGATACCGACATTGTTGGGGATCATGCCCCCCCCCCCAAAATGTTTTCTTTCACCTGTTTTCTTTTTTTATACCATCACAGTTTGGTGTCCGGATGATTATTGTAAGGTATCATTTGTTATTAAATTTTGTCTTATGATACAAAATGAAATTTGTGGAAAATCCCTTATCATTTTGAGCTTTCTTTTGAAAATTACAAAAACCACTAGAAAATTGTTTGAACCTTTAAATTTTTAAGATATTTCTTCTAATTTATTTCTTCAGACAAATCTCTTGAAGACTATGTTTCAGAAGCTGAGAAAATTTACTAAAAGAACAAGGTTGAAGGATGTCAAAATCATTTCAAAAATTTCAATGTCAGAACTAAAGAGCAATTCAGAAAGACGAGTGCATAGGTGCGATTTATCAAATGCTACGAAATAATAAATGGATGTGTAATTCACAATATTTTCCGGAGTTATTAGTTCATTCTTGGAAATAGAGAGCAAATGGGTCAGGTGGGATAAAGTAGGTATATGTTAAAAAAACATCTATTTTCTCCTTTTAAATTGAGATAATTTGTTTAATATTTTTAGAGATATTTATTGCGATTGTGTCAATCATTTTTATTTCAGTTTTAGAAATTGTTAAAAAAATTTAATGTTTTCAAACTATCTGTTTTATGATCAAATTTTATACAGTATGTAAGTTTAAGAAGTTGATAAACTTACTTTTAATATCATTAAAACTGGCAAAAACAATTAATTTTAGTTCAAACTAGTTGAAGGATATCTAAAGAACATCTACATAGAAATGTCAAAATTCTATTTATAATGAATTGTTTTTTTATGGTGGGGTAAAATGGGTGTATGGTTAGACTCAGCTGAGTGTTGCATCATTGGGATATATTTTTTTACTTCTATGTTATCTTTTGCAAGTATCTAATGCTCTATATTTTATACTGAAATAGCTACAAATAGTTTACTTATTTGGTTTTAATCCTTTAGTTGTCCTGGAGGAATCTTCAGTACCTTGGCCCACCTTGACCTGTCTTGCTAAATATAATTATGACGATCATTCCAATAATTTATCGGTAATAGTATAGGGGAAAAATGATCTTTTTTCATAACTTTCAAGCAAATATATCACCTGTTTCGCCTCATTTGCAAGTGGAAGATTTTTTAAGTTTTTCTAAATTTATTCTAAGTTATGCATATTTTTCACCATCGCATACATTTTTCTCTAAATATCTACTCACATTTAAGTCAGCTTCTTATTTTCGCACTAATTTTAACACTGAGAACAAAATTTCTTTTAAATTTTATTTTTTAAAGAGAAGAATGATAGAGGGAAATAATAATATAACACACATATACAATCAACAAAATAGCAAAATGTTACAACTTAGTCAGTGAGAATATTTAAAGATATGGATGAGTTTTCACACAAGTTTCTGCCTTCCTATGGCAGTTTTTCACGGAAAATAAAACAGTTTTCTTAAAATAATCCTATTGAATAAAAATGTATATCTGCTTTAAATAGTAAAAACGCTTTAAATTATCACTGTAGATATAAATTTTTACACTCTCATTTAAATTTCAAATAATCCAAAAACTGTGGTGTTTTTTTTGTTGCTTTTTGATGAAAATGTGTTGAGTTCAGCAAAATACGTCCGAATTGAAACCTAATTTTGATAGCCATGAACATTAAAGCTTTAATTTAATAATATTAAAAAGAAACATTTTTTAGCCTTTACT